GACTGCAAATCTGTTTGTACTGCAAGGTCAGTGGTTCAAGCTCACCAGCTGCTCCTTGGAAACCCTATATAGGGTCTCTATGGGTCGGAACCGACTCAATGGCACTTCACAATAACAACATGTATAGATATACACACACATACACTATTTTTTAGAGTAGCCCCTCTTACAGTAGGAGTTCTGGTAGCATAGTGGTTACAAGTCAGGCTGCTAACCTCAAGTTTATTAGTTCAAAAAGACCAGCTGTTCCATGGGAAAAAGATAAGGGTTTTTGTTCCCGTAAAGATTTACAGCTTCAGAAACCCTATGCAGGGTTGCTACGAGTCAGGGCTGACTCCACAGCACATAGCCACCACCACCCTAGTCTTACAGGAGAGCTATGCAGAAAGTATCTAATTCTCAGGTACCTCTTTTGCCCGAGACAGTTTCTCTTATTAATATCTTCCATAGTGTAAGGAGTCTTGGTGTCACTGTGGGTTAGGCATTGGACTGCCAACAGCAAGGCTAGTGGTACAAATTCATCTGACGTTCTGAGAAACCCTGTTGTTGTTACGTGCCACTGAGTCACTCCTGACTCATAGTGACCCTGTATAGGGTTTCCAAGGAGCAGATGGTGCATTTGAACTACTGACCTTGTGGTTAAAATTGACCTTGCAGTCCAGTGCATTATCCAACAGCATTACACTGGAAACACTATACAGGGTTGCTATGAGTTGGAACCGACTTGATGGCACACAGCAACAACAACAAATACCGGAGTAAACTGACAAGAGCAACTTGAAAGATGAAAACTTTGAGGGCAATGAGTTTCTGTCAAGGGGGAGGAACAATTCTTTAAAGGAGGTGAGAACAGTTGCACAGCTGGAAGAATGTAATTAAGTATCACTAAAATGTACATGTAGAATTGGTACATGTTCTACTGGATATATTCTTAGCAATATCCCAGAAGAAAATAATTTTTTAGAAAGTCTATTCCATCTGTGTTCCTATCACTAAGTCCTTTTCTACTTCTACACTGAATTTCAAGATATTTATAAATTTCAATTTCATTGCCATTATTCACAAATTATAGGTGTAGTAAATGTTTCATGTAACCTCAGAGAAATTATCCCTGTGACGGCTAGTCTGAGGAAAGCACGCCCAGGTTAATGTCATGACTATAATGAGACAGAATTTCATTTTAAGGAGCCTATGCCACCCTGAACAGATAAACCCCTCTAAAAGTCTGACATTAAGAGCTAAGCTTTCTGAATTTTGCTCTTAGAGCTGAGTCTAAGCAGTATATTCAATACGACATTTATGAGTCAATGTTATATTTTTATACTTTGACTGGAACATGATTTTGATTCAGGCTATATTTTTAAAAATCACTCTTCATTGGATACTTTTACACAGAAAGCTTTAAAATTGAGGAAAATTAAAAGGAGAGAAGGGGTTAGTTGGGAACTGAAAACATAACTTCATATGTAACATGAAGAGAACAATTTTCAGACTTTCTCCTTGTACTCTCACCCTCTCTTTAAAATCTTATAGTAATTTCCAAGGTTGATGGTCAAAAACACCAGACACTCCTTGGAAACCCTATGAGTTGGAACCAACTCGACAGCATTTAACAACAACCATCATTAGGATTGTTCATTTATTCATCTACTTAATAGTATTTTTAAAACCTCACTCTCACTACTAAGAGTTGTTTTATCAAAAAAAAAAAGTATATATATTTTATAATATTAATGAGATTTCTTGTAAAATGTTAATTTTGACAATTAAAGTCTAAAACTGGTCAATAAACTATAGCCCATGGGTCCAACCAGTCCATAACCTGTTTTTGTAAATAATTTAAAAAATATATTTTACTGTTTTCAGTGAGCATTTACCCAGCAAATTCAATTTTCACTTGACAATTTGTACATAAACTGTTCAGTGATGATCAGTTACCTCTTCCACATATCACCGTTCTCTTTAATTACAGTGTGTTCCCTTTCCAGTGCTCTAGTTTCCCTGTCCCCTTATCTTCTCATCTTTGCTTTAGACTAATTGTTAACCATTTTGGTCTCCAACACATGGTTTTCTGAATGAAGCACCATATTTACGGATAATATCCTTTATTTGTGTGCCAATCTGTTATTGCGCTAAAAGGTGGCCTGAGGGGTTAGTTTCAGTTCAGTATTTAGAAAGCACCTCCGGGTGACAGTTTCAGGGAGTCCTCCAGTCTCAACTGGCCCAGTAAGCCTGGATTTACTCAGAATTTGAGGTCTGTTCTGTTTCTCTTCCAGTCTATCAGGACCCATCTATTATGGTCCTGGTCAGAATTGCTGGTAGTGGTAGTCAAGCACTAACTAGTTCTTTTTGGTCTCAGGTAAATAAAGTTTTATTAGAACAGTCACATTCATTTATTTACACATTGTCTGTGGCTGCTTTTGTGCAAGCTGAATAGATAAGACAAAGACTGTTGTTGTTAAGTACCATGGAGTCGGTTCCAACTCATAAACCCTGCACAGGGTTTCCGAGGCTGTAAATCTTTATGGGAGCAGATAGTCTTATCTTTCTCTCCCAGAACCGCTGATAGTTTTGAACTGCCGACCTTGAGGTTAGCAGGCCGATTCGTAACCACTATGCTACCAGAGCTCCTTGAGACAAAGACTACACAGGCCAAAAACCTGAAAATATTTAGTATCTGGCCTTTTATACGAAAGTTTACTAATCTTTCCCTTTTTTAAATATACCAAAACAAGTATGTAACATCAAACTACACCTTCTAATTAAAGATTGAAATAATATGGCAACCATAAATCTATAAACGATTTTAATACCCTAGGTATATATGAAAACCCGTATCTCTGTTGTCCTTTTAACTTCTACTAACTACAAAGCACCCTCAGCAAATGATTTCCATTGATTTAAATGTTTCCAAATTAGGAAACAGGAATATCAAAGTTACATGAAACTTACGTAAAATTCTCAATGTGAACACATGAAAAAAGTAAGCACAGAAGCATTGCATCTGTCAGTATAGTTACTACAGGTTGAGATTCTGACAGACTCCTTTTGCAGTGGCAAAAGGAAAGAAAAAACTACTCCAAGAGCTAGACTCTGTCACTGTGTAGAACACACACAAGGAGCTAAATAGTAGAATAAACTACATTTATTCAATGATCCCACCACATTACACATGTTTTAGAACACAAAAAAGGAAGGTCCCAGTTTCTGTAGGCTGCTCTAGAGTCAGCATTGTAGGATATTTTCTTTCATACTATGACCTTATTGTTGCTAAGTGCTGTTGAGTTGGTTCCAACTCATAGCGACCCTGTGTAGAGTTTCTGAGAAGCAGCTGGTGAATTTGAACTGCCAACCTTGCAGTTCAAACAGACCTTGCGGTCCAGTGCCTTTCTCTACAGGGCCACACCAGGACTCCACTATGACCTTTGTTGTTGTTGTGAAGTGCCGTCAAGTTGAGTCCAAACCATAGTGACCCTGTATACGGTTTCCGAGGAGCAGCTGGTGAGCTTGAACCAATGGCCTTGCAGTTCAAATGACGTTGCAGTCTGACCTTAGGCAACCTGAAAAGTTTTGACTCACAGTAGCCCCGTGTGACCAAGTGGAGCTGCTCTCTCGATTGTCTTGGCTGTGATCTTGATGGAAACAGATCGCCAAGCCTTTCTCTCATGGAGCTGCTGTTGCTGCTGCTGGTAAGTGCTACCAAGTCAGTGCTGATTCACAGCGACCCGACAGGGTTTCCAAGGAGCAGCAGTGGTGAGCAGCCCAGTGTTTGTACTGCATGGCTACACCAGGACCCCTAGATAGGTTCAAACTGCCAACCATTCAGTTAACAGCTAAGCACTTCACCATTTGTGCCACCAGGGATCCTTGAAAAGGTCCCAAAAATGATTCATATACATTCAAATCACACCAAATGCTGCTTCACTTACGGGCAATTTCTTCAATATACAATTTAAAAATTCCTTTTCAGTTTATATTAATTAACAGCTAATTTCCAAAGGAAAACGATTTTACCTTCTTATCTAGCTTAGAATTCCTGGCATATTTACTTGAACATATTAAAAACTACAGAAAATCTAGATCATGCCAGCACAGAAATTAGTGACAACCAAAAGAGCTCTGGTAGCGTAGGGGTTACAAGTTGGGCTTCTAACCTCAAGGTCAGCAGTTCAAAACTACTAGCTTTTCCACAGGAGAAGGATAAGGTTTTCTGCTCCCCTAAGATTTACAGCCTTGGAAACCCTATGCAGGGTCACTATGAGTCGGAACCGACTCCACAGCATACCACCAACACCATACACAGAAGTCTTCAGAATTTTCTTTGGTATGCTTGGAGGAAGTGAGTTCTGACCTTACTGACAATTAGCCTAAAATAAAAAAAACAAACCTTGACTTACATAATAATTGACATAGTAAAATGAATGATTGAAACTTTCCAGTATCCTATTAGAGTCCTGGTGTGGCGCTGTAGGATAAGACCTGGACTGCTAACTGCGAGGACAGCAGTTCAAACCTACCAGCTGTTCCTCAGAAACCCTATACAGGATCCCTATGAGTCGGAACTGACTCGGCAGCAGTTAACAAGTATCCTACTCACATTTCCATATTAGAGCACCAAAGAGATGAGAGAAAGAAAGCCAACTGCTCCCCAGAGGAGCCAAAGGTCTACTAAGTCCAATGCTTCAAGTTGTTGTTGTTAAGTGCCGCCAAGCTGGTTTCAATTCATAGCGACCCCATTTAGGGTTTCTGAGGAGCATCTGGTAGGTTTGAACTGCCATCCTTGTGGTTCGCAATCCAGTGATGATCAGTATAATTCATTAGTGGATAAATGTGAACACTTGAGCCCCTCTTCTGATGAACCACCTTGTGTAATGTCCACTGAGAGATGACAAATAAAAATCATTACCTGATGAAGTCTCGGTATGGCTCAACTTTTTCCAGCAGATGCAGTTGATAACTCCAGTGCTGTCATCCACTGCAAGCAACGCATAAAAAGGAAGAAGAGAGATTTCCCATTGCTGGCGACTGAGCACAGGTCACTGCATTTGCCATACTAAAACATGACAGTTTTCAATAGCCTGGCGAGCCCAATCCGGAGCAAATTCTCCTTCCACCTTCAAGAACAATCTCTTACCAGACACCAGTGCAAACTGATTGTCTGCATCTGTCAAAGTTATATATGAGCTCAACGTACTGCAGGCACCAACTCACTGACCTACCTCCAGGGAACCAATGATTCCTATCCACCCTTCTCTCCTAAAAGTGGTGTGCTCCATCTCAATGACTGCTGACATACACTCATTCTTTCTCTCCTGCCATGGAACTAGACAGCATCACATGATCTGTGGTCAGAGGTACAGGAACTCACAGTGCAGCCTCCTGTCACCATTTGTTCCCTCACTAGCTCACTAACTCACCAGGATGCAGTTTTTGTGTGTGAAAGTTTCTGCCCAGTCCTTACAGTTGCAGAGGTTGTCAGTAAACCAAAACATGCCGTATATTTTTATAAGCGAAACAATTATATCCTGGCTATAAAAAGAATACTGGTCTGGCAAACTTCACAACCTAATGCAAAAAATAAAATAAAATAAACAATTCCCATGGCATTTGGTTTTGATACTAGAGAAATTTAGAGACTTGGCTATGGATTTGGGTCACTATTTCTTGCTGTTGTTTTGTGCCTTCGAGTCGATTCTAACTCACAGTAATCTACAGGAGAGAAGAGAGCTGCCTTATAGGGTTTCCTAGGCTGTCATCTTTAAGGCAGCAAATCATCAGCTCGTTTCCTCTTTGGAGTGGCTGGTGGGCTAGAATTGCTGATCTTTCAGTTTACGGCCCACTCTGCCCTACCTATGGCACATCAGAGCTCCTAAGCTACTCCTAGGATGACAAGTGATAAAAATATTGATACCCACATGTACTGTTCAGTAGCAACCCTTGTGAGGAGCAAGTTTGGAAACGAATCAAATTTGGAAATTTGACTTAGTAATTAATTCCAGTAATATGTTCTAAGAAGAAAAACAGAAAAAAGTAGGCAAATACATGCATTTTATGTGTACGGCAGGTCATGGCAATACTTCTGATGATGCTGAAAATTTGAAATAACTGAAATGTTTATAAATATGGAACTGGTTGTAATAAAATAAGATGTGAAAATAAAAAAAAGTTCATAGTGAAGCTCTTATGATGTTCATTGCTGTTAAAGGATAGAGTTGTTGTTAAGTGCCATTGAGTTGGTTCCGACTCACAACGAACCTGTGTAGGGTCATTGTAAAATAAAAATTTTATATAACAGCATATGATCTAATTTATAGAAAACATATTAAATAGTATATATTACAGCAAAGATTTTAAGACAATCATTGCTTAATATTAGATTCTTTTGGATTGTGGATAGGGAATCCCACATTCAATGTATATATTGATTGTTAAGCCTAATTATGGAACTATTAAGAAGTGAAAGAAATATGCATAATAGTACTGAGGAAAAATGGCGTAGATATATTTTTTTATATTAAAAAGACCTCTAAGTTTGGAATGATGTTCATTCAAATATTAACAGTATTTTTATCTGATTTGTGGGGTTTCAAATGACCTTTGATGATGGAGAAGCTCACAATCATTAGTCAGAACAAGGCTCTAGGGGCTGACTGCAGAAAAGACTATCAATTGCTCATACACAAGTTCAAGTTGAAGCTGCAGAAAATTAAAAAGAGTATAGAAGCCAAAGTACAGCCTGAGTAAATCCACCTGACCTGTTGATTGTGGTTCCAAGTAAAATGAAATCCTTGAAACTTCAATCTTTTCTCTGTTTATATTGATTCAGTTGTGAGGATTTTTCTTTATGTTCAAGTAGTGAAGGCTGTAGATTTCTTCATCAGTAAGTGCTTCAAGTCCTCTTCACAAACACAGACCTGAAGCACTGAACACTAATGGCTGAAGATGACAGGAGCTATGGGATGACATCATATGGGAAGAAAGAGGAAGGTCACTGAGACAAGAAAGAAGGAAAAGACCAAAATGGATATCAGAAGAAACTCTAAAACTTGCTGTCCTACAGAGAGATGCTAAAATGAATGGAAGGAAAATGATGAAGTAAAGAGCAGAGCACAAGATTTTAAAGAGTGTTCAAGAAAAGACAAAGCAAAATATTATAATGAAATGTGCAAACACCTGGAGACAGAAAACCAAAAGGTAAGACCATGCTTGGCATTTCTCAAGATGAAAGAACTGAAGAAAAAATTCTAGCTTCAAGTTGCAATATAGAAAGATTCTATGGGTAAAATACACTGGATGACCCAGGAAGCATCAAAAGAAGATGAAAGGAATCTATAGAGTGACTCTACCAAAAATAATTGGTTCAAGCATTTCAGGAGATAGTATATGCTCAAGAACCAATGGTACAGAAGGGAAAAGTTCAAGCTGCACTAAAGATATTGAAAAAACCAAGGCTCCAGAAATTGACGAAACACCAACTGAGATATTTCAACAAAAGGATACAACAAAAGCACTTACTCATCTATGCCAAGAAATCTGGAAGATACTACCTGACCAACGGACTGGAAAACATCCATACTTGTACCCATTCCAAAGAACACCCAACAGAATGCAAAAGCAAACAATCTCATTAATATCACATGCTGAAGCTCATCAGGGAACTGCCAGAAATTCAAGCTCGATTCAGAAGAGGATGTGGAATCAGGGATCTCACTGCTGATGTCAGATAGATTTTGGCTGAGCACAGAGAATACCAGTAAGATGTTTGCTGTTGTTGTTAGGTATTGAGTCAGTTCTGACTCAGAGCGACCCTATGCACACCAGAAGGAAACACTGCCTAGTCTTTCACCGTCCCCACAATCATTAAGATTGAGCCCATTGTTTACCTGTGTCTTACTGACTAGATAAAGGCATTTGACTGTTTCATAACAAATTATGGATACATGAAAAATAGGAATCCAGACACATACATTGTTCTCATGCGGAACCTGTAAGTAGACCAATATGCAAGTAGACCAATATGCTCATTGGAATAGAGCAAGGGTTTCAAATCAGGAAACGTGTGCAGCAGGGCTGTATCCTTTCACCATACTTATTCACTCTGTATGCTGAGCAAATCATCCAAGAAGCTGAACTTCATGAAAAACAAGGCCTCAGGATTTGAGGAAAATTCATCAACAACTGTAATACGCAGATGACACAACTTTGCTTGATGAACGTGAAGAGGACTTAAAGTACTTACTGATGAAAAAACCTATAGCCTTCACTACCTGAACATAAAGAAAACAAAAATCCTCACAATTGAACCAATAAACAACATCAATATAAACAGAGAAAAGATTGAAGTTGCCAAGGATTTCATTTTACTTGGAACTACAATCAACAGTCATGGGAGCAGCAGTCAGCAAATCAAAGGGCATATTGCATTAGACAAATATACAACACAGAACCTCTTTAACAAAGCAAAGATGTCACTCTGAGGAATAAGGTATGCCTGACCCAAGCCATGGTGTTCTTCAATCACTTCATATGCATATGAAATCTGGACAATGAATAAGGAAGATAGAACAAAAGGATTTGAGTTGTGGTATTGGTGAATATTAAATCTATCAGGGATTGCCTGAAGAATGAACAAATCTACCCTGCAGCCAGAATGCTCTTTAGAAGCATGGATGGCAAGCCTTCATTTCAGGTACTTGGGACATGTTATCAGGAGGAACTAGAACCTGGAGAAGGACGGCATGCTTGGTAAAGCAGAGAATCACCGAAGAAGAACATCCTCAACCAGACAGACTGGCATAGTGGCAGCAACAATGGACTGAAGCCTAACAACCGTGAGAAGAGTGCAGGACCAGACAGTGTTCCGTTCTGTTGTAGGCAGGGCGGCCATGCCTTGGAATTAACTGGGCAACAGCTAACAACACATGACCTTTATGTAGTTGATTTGAATTTTCTCTCGTTTTAAATGTGGCACTGTGGGTTTGCTGCGGGTTAATGGGTTAGACTGCAAGGTCGGCCCCTTTACAGGGTCATTATGAGTCAGAACAGACTTGACGGCACTTAACAACAGCAACATCAATAGAGACATTCTTAGTTTAAAAAATGTATGATAGGTACACCATTTCTCTGGCTAGTTTAAAATCTTGATTTATATGGAGAGAAAGAGAAATATGTGCATATGAACACTGTTCTAGTCCTGACGTGGCTCTGTGGGATAAAGCAGTGGACTGCGGTTTAAACTCACCAGCCACTCCTTGGGAATCCTGCAGAGGGTTTCTGAGTCATAAAGGGTTTCTGACTCCACGGCACCCAATAACAGGTGTGAGCTGGAGTTGCGGCCAGGTGCTCGGACTTCCACTAGTTTGTATCTCTCCCTGTAGGGCCTGTGTCAGATGCCCTGAAGTTTGAGTGCAGGAAGGCCCAGAGATGACCATCCCTGTAGGGCCACTAAGGGCCATAGGTCTTTTGTTTCTAGCTGTGAGGCGAGTCAGACAGTGTGAGCAGGAAGCACCCCCCCACCCCCCACCCCCCACCCCCCAGCACAGGCCTGTGGTGAGGCAGTCAGAGCAGGCTAAGCAGACAGCCTAATACAAGGCGGACCTGAGGACCTGGGGAGAAAGGCAACTCTCCATTTGAACAGGCAACACAAGAGTTAAAAGCACGTTTACTCTCAGTTCATTCAACATTCCAATGACTTTTGCTTTCTCAGAGCCCACAGATGTATTTTATTCTAGGACACCCACCCTGAGGGTATTGTTTATTGAGAGACAGCTATGCATACCACTGAAATAATTTATAATGGGAAAGGGGGCTAACTGATGCCCCCTGAGGTCCCAGGCCTAGGACCTGACCTGGTTCTAGGGAGGAAATGAAGTTCTCATACAGGCTCCCTTCTTTGATGTGAAGAGTCCAGTAGGTGGGCTTTGTGAGAATCAAACAAGAGATGGGGTTGCTTGTAATTCTCCTTTCAGCTAAGTGGGGTCCTAATACATAAACTAAAGCTCCAATTGCTCTTACCTCCGTAACTGTGGAAAGCATCTCTTTCTTTCACTCCAATTACAGTTCCCAAAATATCTACCTGCTTTACTGGATGCCCATTGTAAAAAAATATACCTGGAAAAAGAAAAAAAAAGACAACAGTCCATTTATTTTATAAATACAAGCAGCCCTTTAAGATGGAATGCTCCTTTCTGATGCCTGTTGTGTTAGTTCTGATGATAAATCAAATACCTCATTATTATTAGTCTTTTAGTTTTCATTTCAAAACACAGCAATGTTTTGAATGTTGTTGTAAAAAAAAAAATTTTTTTCCCCCCAACTTGATGTGGTTAATTATTTTCTACTTATAAAAATGAAATGTAGCTTGTTACAGAACAAGGAAATCTGAAAATAGCCATGATATGTTATCAGTGCTGTTCTGTATTTGGAAGGACTAGAAAAAAGGAAAAAGAGAATCTACGAGAAGGACTTTCTTGCTTTCTCTGCAAGTACTTTTCTAAGAAACCAGTCTTCATTTCTATGAATTGGCAATAGCTTTTCTTTTTCTTCTCTAGAGGGAGATGTTAAGTAGGTTACAAAACTCTACTTTTGGGGCCAGCATATTACTCAAAGCTTCTCTTTTTACAATTGTTTTAAAAGCCTAGACTACAGATACTGACAGCCATGTCCCAGCAGTGAGGAACCTCAGAGAGTGAACCCTACCCAGACACCTGAGACCCTTTGACTCAAAGATAGGACCCACGTGGGATTCCTGGAACTGGTGGGCCTGATTTTGATGTGATGCCAGGGTTGCCCTAGCTCCTGACTGTTTTCCCTCCTCTGGACCCCAATATTCTTACTTGAATTCCCTAGGTTGGCTTAAGCTACTTCTGGCTGGTTCCTATTAACTGCAGCCAGAGTTCCAAGCAAAACTCTGGCCATCAAACTGTTTCTCCTGGCGATGACCCCACTAGCAGAACTGAGTTCCACAGGGTTTTTTGTTTGTTTGTTTTTTAAAAACTGAGTGAAGTTTTTATTTTTTGTGTGTGAGCTGAGTGAAGGTTTATAGAGCACGTCATCAGTTTTACAGTCAACACATTATATACATTTCATTTCATTTCAATGACTGTAATCCCCTCCAAGTCACATCACTTAGCCCACTTCCTCCTTGTGACTGTTTCCATTCTGCCTTCTTTCCCAACCCTTTGGAATTTTGTCCTGAGGTAAATACTGCCCTTGTGCTCTTGAATGGTGTGTCTGCCTCACTAGTGTTTCTGTCTCCCCTATATACTTACCTACTGCTTGGCTGAAAATTGAGCCATGAGGGTGAGTTTAGGTCCAGAGCGTAAACTATTTTAAAAGCCATGACTACTGACAAGGAGCCCTGGTAGCGTAGTGGTTATGAATCGTGCTGTGAACCGCAAGGTCAGCAGTTCGAAACTACCAGCTGTTCTGCAGGAGAAAGATGAGGTGTTCTGCTCCTGTAAAGATTTACAGCCTCGGAAACCCTGTACAGGGTCACTATGAGTCGGAACTGACTCCACAGCACACAGCCACCATCACAGATACTGACAAGGGCCACCCATAGGGTTTTCTTGTCTGTCATCTTTATGTAAAGGAACCCTAGTGGCACAGTGAGTTAAGCATTGGGCTACTAACCACAAGGTGAACAGTCAGAACCCACCAGCGACCCCTCAGTAGAAAGATGAGGCTAGGTGTTCTCGTAAAGTTTTACAGTATTGGAAACCCAAAGGGGCAGTTCTAACTTCTCTGTGCTATAGGATGGCTAGGAGCCAAAATGGACTCAATGGCAGTGGGGTATATAATCTTTATGGAGGCATGCTGCCAAGCTTTTCTTGCATGGCACCACGGCGTGGGCTCAAACAGTCCATTGTTTGGCCAGTAGCTGAGCACACAGCATCTGCACCACTCACGGCCCTTCAGAATGCTGCAGTGTAGTCGCGAGGTCATTTTGTGAAAAGGTTGATGTTTGTTTCAACCAGGTTTCCTTTAAAAAACCATACAGTGGCATTATCACCAATGACATAGCCAAGGTCAGCAGCAGAGTTTTCCTTGGTCTCTTAGAAGACAGCATAAGGCCCTGTACCCACAGAAGAGTGAAGCTCTCTAACAGGCTCCTATCACGCCCCTAACCCTTCTCTGAGCGCCTTTAAATGCAGCTGGCATGGTGTGTGAATTCATTCCTTCTTGAGGAGATGAGTGGTGGAGAATACAGACTGTTTGGGAAAACAGACAATTGTGTGTGGGGTGGAGATGGGGGTGGGGGCATGCACCAGAGGCTGGCTGCCTTCCCAGGACAAAAACAGACCATTTCCAACAATCTCAGGAAATAAAGGTATGGGAAAAAATATATAACACTTTACTATAAAGTCATCCAACTATATTTGTATATGGAACAGGACAGATAAAACCTCACCTCATTAAACCCTGGATTCTTCAAATTATTGACTACTTCTGACTCCGAGTTTGCCATTTAAAAGGCCCCTGATTGGAGACCAACACTCAAAATAGCAGAGTTTATCCAAACTTCTCATTTATACAGTATCCATGTAGCAGTATACCCAAAGCTACATGAATTACTTAAATCTTCCCCCAAAACTGTATTTGTTATATTCTTAGGTATGAAGAACCGAACTTAAGTAACCAATTGTTGTTGTTGTTATGTGCTGTGGAGTCGGTTCCGACTCATAGCGACCCTACACAGGTTTTCCAAGGCTGTTAATCTTTACAGGAGCAGAACGCCTCATCTTTCTCCCGCGGAGCAGCTGGTAGTTTTGGACTGCTGACCTTGCGGTTCACAGCCCGATTTGTAACCACTACACTACTAGAGCTCCTTTAAGTTACCAATGTTGTTGTTGTTGTGTGCCGTGGAGTCGGTTCTGACTCATAGCGACCCTACACAGGGTTTCCGAGGCTGTAAATCTTTACGGGATCACACTGCCTCATCTTTCTCCCACGGAGCGGCTGGTAGTTTTGAACTGCTGACCTTGCGGCTCGCAGCCCAATTCGTAACCACTATGCTACCAGAGTAACCAATAGTCTAATAAAAATGTTTTAACCTTACATTAAAAAGCTTTGGTTCAAACAGGAACCAGACAAGGATGCCCTTTGTCACCACTCCTATTCAACACTGTGCTGGAAGTCTTAGCAAGAGCTATATTGCAAGCCAGTAAAGGAGGCTTCCTGCAGAGCCTCTGCATTACATAAGACTATAGGTGGAAGCCTGATCTTCAGAGATGGGAAATTTCCACTTGAAAGGATGAGCAGACCAGAGCAGACCAGCCTGGAGCGGCTAGAAGAACAGAAGATACTTCTTGAAAGAAAGACCTACAGG